CATACCAAAACCTTTCAATACACGTGGGATGATATGAAATCGCCCCTGTGTATTCTGAAGTGTGTTTTGTCCAAGCAAAACAGACACTTTTAAGCGTCGATCCCCTCAAAGGAGGATACCGGCTCTTCTCGAGGGTATCTCAAAGGATACAAACGAGGATCTGCATGCAAACACAAATATTGACGCATGAAATTGAAGAAATACAGTGTTTAAAATCGCAAAAGGGTGAAAGAAATGTACCCCCATGCGAAGCGGCAACAGGGGCAGCCTCCTCAGGGCTCTGAACAGTCGGACGGCCTCGAGTCCCTCGAGCTCTACGCGGCGACATGACGAAAACACGAGCTACATTAAAACCCAAGAGGAAAGTTAGGATTTTGAACATGAAATCGACAAAAAAATAGAGCAAATACAACCGAAACAATGCATGCACAGTCACAGGTGAAGAAAATCAAAGTTTTGGAGAAAGAGGCGTACAAACCTTCAGAAATCCGAATGGAATCTCCCCAAATAAAGGCGCCACACGAATCAGAAACAAAGAAAGCAAGAGAACTGGTCGAAGCTTGCAGAAAATCACCCAAGAAATCAACAAAAATCGCCCAAAATCCGACGTGAAAAGCCCTAAAAAACCCTAAGTTGGGGTTTTATAGCCCTGACTTCGCTGTGCGAGACAGCTTTCACTGTCTCGCCATGCGAGACAGTATATACTGTCTCGCACCGCGAGACAGCATATACTGTCTCGCAGACAGAAAACTCTGTCTCGCTGAGCGAGACAGCATAATCCGTCTCGCTGAGCGAGACAGCAAACACTGTCTCACAGTGTGAGACAGCAAACACGGTATCGCACAAATGCAATACAGAGTGATCCTCCAATGGGTACACGAGTCTAAACTGTATTTCTACCCTCAACAGGAAGTTTCTGGAGAATATTACTCTTAATATTCTTAAGGATAACCTGACGAACTCTCAAAGGACATACAAGCATCAGTCTGGAAATACCAGCTTCAATTCAAGATCTCAACAACGGTCGAGCGATAAACGCAATGCCGGAGAAGTATTGGCTATTCTACAAAGAACTGAATAGACTAATGGATGAAGAGATCAAGAGCCGAAGCCATTTTACAGATTCTTCTACACGATCTACTCAACCAAGCATTGAAGGGATCGTAAGTAAAATTTATCTTATCCAAAGTATCCCAGACTTCTCTATACAAGAATGAGTCTGGAATACTTTGGAGGGGGTATCTGTAGGCGTCAAAAAATGCTAATAGATATCCCAAACATAAAGAAAATCACTCAAAAAATCACAAGAATTGATCTCATACTGTTTTTGGAAAATCAAGACAGGTATGAACTGTCTCGCCAGCGAGACAGACTTTGCTGTCTCGTCAGCGAGACAGACTTTACTGTCTCGCCAGCGAGACAGTGTTGAAATGGTCAAAAACCACCTCGATAACTGCCCTACACGTGTCCATTAACTGACAGGGGACGTGGAAAACATCGTGGGCGAAAATCACGTGAATAACTGCCAAAATAACGGAGTTTGAAACGTGGGAAAGCAGTTAAAACGAAAACTGCCTGCGGTTACTATTTCCGAGACAGTATTTGCTGTCTCGCGGGCCGAGACAGCAAACACTGTCTCGCCCAGCGAGACAGTAAACACTGTCTCGCCAGTCTAATTTCGTCGTTTGTTGAGTTTTTTCAGTTATGAACCCCAAAGGCTATAAATACCCCCCCTAGGGTCACTACTGACGAAGATCGAGCATATTTTCGAGCAATCCAGAGCAGAGAGAGAGCAGATTTGAGTTTTCGTGCAACTCCTTGAAATTAAGCTTTGACTTGATTTTAAGAAGAACGACTATCTTACTTCGATAAGATATCGTTTCAAATTTTCACTTCGATAAACGAAGTCAGAATCAGTAAAACCCCCTTCACGATCTGTGATTCGGCGGTCCACGAACTAAAGCATTCCCGGCACAGGCAAAGTCCCACAAAAACAAGAATCGATAGACGATTTTTGTGTTAGTTTCTCAAGTTTTTGTAATTTTCTAATTTTTTCATTGTAATTCGTTGTAAACGACTGAAGTTTAATAGAATTATCAATGGATTTGTAATTTTCTAATTTTTTCATTGTAATTCGTTGTAAACGACTGAAGTTTAATAGAATTATCAATGGAAGCAACTTTTGATGCATTGTAATTCGTTGTAAACGACTGAAGTTTAATAGAATTATCAATGGAAGCAACTTTTGATGCAAACAACTACTCTTAAGTTAATTTTGTGTTTTTATGAAGGCCTAAAATTATCTGTTTATGAACTTCGTAATTAGGTTTCAATTTTAATTTGTTAAAATTCTTATTAATGAAACACAGAAGGGAGCTTATTTCAATTTTTTTTTTTACCAAGAGAGTAACATGTTCGTGTAGAGCGGGTTTCTTCTCAGAAGGGGAGCAACTTGGACCACACGTGAGTCCTGCTAATTAGATTAAAATGTACCCCTCCTCTCCAAATCGCTAGGTTCAGAGCTCTTTACAACGTGTCGCGCTTTCTGATAGGACTCGTACTCGTTAATGTATATATAGGGCTGCCAAGAATAAGGATAAGTCACCACCCGCGGGTGGGACTCCTGGCTAGCGCCCACATCGGGGAAGGAGATCCTCCCAGTGGTCAGGGGCTCAATTCACGCTGCCGAATTCACCTAGTCTCCCTGGGTTTAAGGGTGAGGACGGAGACCCGGGGTTTTACTGGTCACTTTGCTCAACACGCTATATGCTCACCAGTTCGCGCACGCACCCCTGCACTGTTCGTCCAGTCAGCTGGGGATGAGCCCCTGGTATTAATGGTAGCTCCTTGCAGAGATGGGTTGGTTGTGGGTTTTGAACCAGGGCCGCTGGCAGACTTCAAAGGAGTTAAAGTTGAGCGGACTGACCAGGTTTCCTTGTCATAAAAAAACAATAAGGACAAGTCGTGGATATATCTAAATCCGGATTTGATAGGATGCATATGTTAAATTTATAGATATGGATTTTGATAATATTTTCTTGGCTATGCTATAGTATATATACAAATATGAGTGTGGTAACGGATATAAATAAAATATTTGAATTCATAAGTTGATCTATGTCTCCATCAATAGGGGTGTTAGGGACACACCCTTGGGCACACCACCAACCACTCCCCCTCTATCTACAGTGCAGGGGCCCCACATGTGATTTTTTAAAAAAAATCACATGTAGGGCCCCTGCACTGTAAATAGAGGGGGGGTGTGGTTGGTGGTGTGTACAAGGGTGTGCCCCTATCATTTCTTCTCCATCAAATAGTCGAAATTATTTGAGTTCCCTTCAAGCAAAGGGTCAACGTGGACTAACTTGAGGGCTCAAAATATTACTATATTTTATATTTACATGATTGGAGAGAGAAAAAAAATCAAAATTTACCGTCGCACAACCCTATATTGTACGGCACTAGGCCTCTAGATCTACATTGGGCAATATTGGGCCGAAGCTTACGTAGCTCATGAGGAGTGACTCGTGGAGGCCTAGCAGCTAGCACGCTCTAGCTAGCTTAATTAATTAGTCAGGGCTTGCGTGCGTGCATCTGATATTAGAACTTGTTGAATGCCACCAAGAGTCCCCCCCAAACACTTCAAACACTTCAGTACGTAGTAGAGTTCAAGAGCGAAAACCCTGATGAAGTGTTTGAGAGGAACTCTAGAAGGCAATCAACTTGAGATGAGCTCAATATATAGATTTATCAACATATATAATTGGAAACCCCAATGGAGTCCATGCACGTGTAACATTGTGCTAGTTACTATCTAGAGTTCCCCCAAACACTTCAGTAGGGATGTATGTGTATATATTCAGCTATTACATGAAATTCCTAATGAAGTGTTTGAGGGAGCTCCAGAGAACAACCAACCTAGACAGATCGATAGATAGATAGACAGATAGATAGATAGTCGGGGAGAGAAACAAAGCAGATGAAAAGTACGCTTAATACGTACCTTGCTCATGCTTGCTGTATCTATGCTCACTATTTATAGCAGCCAACCCTGGCTCTTAGATTGCCGACTGATACATGCAAAAGTTAAAATTGCTAGAGAAACCAGTACGTGACTCGGTCCTAGTTCACTAAAATTAAGTACAAGATGAACCTAGCCACATTTCTAGCACAGGGAGGAGTGGAGATTCCTACACAGTCCTTTTTGCTTTCCTAATTCCTATCCCATTCTCTCAAAAAGATTCCTACTGACATTCCCGAGCGCTTTGCAAATTTGCAGGCAACGTACGCTCCCTCCCTTCAAATCAATTAGTTACAAGTTCAAAATTAATTCAAAAATAATCCAGAAACACTCTGAATAAACGTGCACATGGATAACAAATTTAATTAAGGTGTCTTTATTTCAATGTGTATATATTTAAAGCCTTGTACAAAATCCAAATGCATGCAAATTGATTACCGCCTTGAAGGTCATCGAATTCCAGCTATAGGACACACAACACGTTAATTAACTTATATATGTTGCTGTATCCAGAATTAATATAGCTAACTAGGTTATATAACTATACTCAATATCAGAAGGAATATTTGTGATCGATCAGAGGGCTAGGTACCATTTCTACTGTCAAATGGGACAGAGTGAATCCAAATTCGTCGCCATCGATCGATGAGCCTCGTGCGCCACAGGATGCCTCGTGGGCATTATTGCATAATTGGGGAATATATATCTTAGACATCGTACGTGGAGATAGAGATACTTGTGACCACTTGGTGCAAGAAGTTAATAGATATTGGGCCACCATTATAATCACCAACCACATGTTTCATCAACAGATAAAAGTCTATAAACCATCGTACATCACAGGAATTTATTTGGGGCAAAATGGTCAAAAACATTCACTCAAGGGCCTATCTGCAAAAATAACAATAGAGGGGCAGCAAGTTCAAAACAACAACAATACTGATTGTGCATCTCTGGATCACCACATGTTTCATCAACAGATAAAAGTCTAAACCATCATACCAGGAATTTATTTAGAAATCAAAAGGAGAAGAAAACACGCAGTACAACTATTCAAAAAACAGAACACAACCAGTAGGAGGGAACAAACAATCCACCACCATCAGTCTTGAGTCATAAACATAGATACATCCACCCACTCGTCCTCGTCCACCCATTTCCAGTCAGCCACATGCTTCAGGTATTTACACAAGCATCACAACCCACTTCCACGTTAGCATCAAACTTAACAAACCTCAGTTTCAAACTTGAGGCAGATACCCATACTAAACAACTCCTGAAATAGCAGTTTCGCACCATACGGTACGTTAATCCTCACGACGTTCTCCCCCGATTTGCAGAAACCACAATAAGGCCCCCGTATCTTCCCGTTGCTGACAACTCGCTGGATCACATTAGCGAAACGGCTGCAGGTGCGACAGACATGCATCTGGGAGAAGTCACTGAGCGTGAACAGACGCTCATGCAAGTTAGCAGCAGCGCCATGGGCGAGGAGGCAATCCCGCTCCATCTCCCCGAACTTGACCCCACCGAACCTCTTGCGATCAGCAACGGGTTGGCGGGTCAGCGGGTGAACTGGACCCGTATTTCGGAACTTCACCTTGTCCTCAGACATGTGGATCAGGCGTTGGTAGAATGTCGGGCCAGTGAATATCATGGTTTGCATGAGCTCACCTGTGCGGCCATTGAGCACTCTCTCGGCTCCCCACCTCTGGAAATTTAAACTGAGATGATGCAAGGAATAGTTAACAGATTATCAAAGAATGAGAGTTAACAAATATAAAACCCATAATCCTCAAGCAGGCACGAAAAATGCAGGGAACTTTAGAAAAAAATATAGCCCGTACTGGATGAAAATTAGGAGAGAAGATTGCTATCATTATATGCAGTTATCTAGTGAATTATGCAATTGTTGAATAGTGAGTTGACCAATTTGACCAAGGGAGAGCTGGAAAACTATTTTTTAAAAAAAAGAGAGAATTTATTATGCATGGAATGTGCATTAACTGGGTCTTCAATATGATGCCCAACATTAACAAACGCATTGTAGATAATTCCTTAAATTCATCAGGTACCAACATCCCCCTAAGCAAGTATGAGAAAAGTGACAATGACAAGGTAAAGCAATCACAGACATCATAGTGAACAGATATAATACAAGTGATGCGTAAGCCGTAAGGTATGATCTTTTCCCTTATTCTCTGTGTATGTGTCACGAGAGAGAAGTAGATATGAGTGTCTGTGAATACGTTCTGAAACATCATGCTAATATGCAATTTATTTCCTAAATTCTAACTTCTGACAATACATGAACATATACTAGGAGAAGAATTCAGACGTTAAATCCCTCAAAAGGGAAGAGCGAAATGCAAGATTAGATCAGGAGTTATTCTGGAACTTATAACATTTTGAACGTGCACCAGAGCTGTCTCCAGTTTATGTCAGAGGGCATCAAATTCAATACTTGCTGTAGAAGCATGATATCAGTAACAGCAGTTTTATAAATAAAAAAAGATCTCAGAGTTCCAATAATTGAAAATATACCGGTGCAATTGCTCTGCGATGACATCAACCGACGGAGTTGTAAATGGAGTAGCATATGTTATCTTTCCACCAAGAGCAATACCCTTCCCAAGTGATGCCTCTAGCAACTGACCAGGAGTTTGCCGGGTTGGAAAAGCATGTGGATTTATCACTATATCTGGAACAATTCCTTCACGGGTGAAAGGAAAATTTTCTTGCGACTCCAAGAACCCAACAACACCCTTCTGACCGTGCATACTGGAAAACTTGTCCCCAAGACAAGGAGATCGGACCTAAGGCAATTTGATTAACAGGTCAAGGAATGATAAATGTCCAAAACACACAGCTGATAGAATCAGTTCCATTTAAGAGTATTATGCAGTAGCTAGAGACTATAATGAGCATAAATTGTGATATTATATCAAGAAAAAGGAGCTTTCATGATTTGAACAATATTTCAACTTCCACTCAATTTCATTTAAGAGAAACTTTTAGATACTGTGCATTTTCCTAACTCATAATATTGTATTTTTTAAACTTGTTTATGTAACATTCATTGATTTTTCTAATTATCTAAATTAAGTTTTGGCTTTTTCTTCTAAAACGTAAGGACCAAAACAACTGAAGCCCCTCGAAGTCTCTAGGTGATTAAAAAAACCATATTCCAATTAGGGCATGTTTGGTTGTTTTCCGAAGACAAAAAGGAAATGGAAAACACACATTTCCAACCCATTTCAAGACATTTCAGCACATTTTCCGCTTTTCTTTTTTTTCGCTTGTTTCGCAATGAAATCCCTGCCACGTCACATTTAAAGAAAACTCAAACGCAAAAGCAATAGTAATACAAGAACAGTAATCTAAGTAATGGACTGCTATAAGTCTGAAACTAAGATGCATGAAAACAGGTACGGCTGCAGGCACGGTACAGGACACGGCAAAATTGTAAAATATACATACATTTAATAGTTATTTAAATTAGCTTATTATTATATTATTAAACAATTTATTTAGGAGTATAATTATTAAATAATAATGTAATCATTAGTTTAAGTAACACTATTGATATAATTAAACCATTTATATTATTAAATATTTATGTTATGGACATATTTTATTATAATATTTATTAAATAATGGCAGTAGTTTTTAAAATTATATGACTTTATGTTGTAAAGAATATTACCTTGCTCGATAATTAATATCATCTTAGTAATAAAAAATTGGATGGCATAAATTAAAAATACTATTATTTAGGAAAAGTACTTTATATAAAAATATTGGATCCTTGAAATTTATGAGACATTTACTTTCCAACAAAAAGTGAATGACTCGTAGATTTCAAAAATCCAATATATTTATATAAAGTAACTTTTCTAAATAAAAGTATTTTTAATTCATAATGTCTAATTTTTATTACTAAGATGATATTATAATATCGAAAAGGGTGATATTCCTTACAATATAAAGAATCAACCCCTATTTATGCTATTATTAATACTACAATTATGTACAATATTTTATTAAATAAATAATTTTACTAATTCATTACAATTGATACGTCTTTTATAATTAATTAAAATAAATTTATTAGCTTTGTTATCATTATAAATTATTAATATGTTCGACCAAGTGACCAAATATTTTTTTATCATTATAAATTATTAATATATTCTAGGGAATGACCAAATAATTTGAGAAAATGAAGAGGTGCATGGTTAATGAGGTTATGCATCATTATTTTTATAAATAATGGTATAATTGTGAGAGATAAAAAATTGAGAGGGTAAAAAGGGAAATAAAAAGTGTTGACATGGGTATTCTCTTTTATAAGTAGTGTATATATATATATATATATATATATACGTCTCATTAGAATTTAAATTCCTATCATGTCCCTTTAAGTTTCTTTCATTATGTTGATTATTATAAATTGGAAGCTATTCGTATTTGAACTAGAAACCTAAACGATTGTTAAAATCATAGTTTTGAACTTGGGTATGGGCTGGAACGAACTCGATCTGTCTCTAACGAGTTTCAAGAAATGGATGTGAGCATTGAAAACTGTAGGATATACGTCCAAGAAGTGATTGACAAGTGTTTTTAATTAAAATGTATATCATATAATTGACCACGTCTGAATAAATGTATGCGTGTACACAATGAGTGTCCATGAAGTTTGGCCACGGATAGGTGTCGGGTACGTGTCAGGTACATGTCGAGTATGGATATGGCTTCATGATAGAAGTACCCAGGTAACATAGTCTGAAAGTGACACAAATGCACAAGACGATAATAAAGAGAAAGGAAATACATTGATAAGGTCCACTAATGTCTGCCACTTACATGAAAGTAACATTTGGAAGTGTGAAAAGAAAGGGGAATAGTAAGATAATTCTCCAGGAAACAAATTAAAAAAAAGGAAAATGTAAAAACAACATTATTAACCCCCAATTAGAAAACGTAGACGTGTTGTAATGAATTTATGTGGCTAGCTAAGTTACCTGGAAGAAAGATATCCGTAAAAGGAATTGTAACTGGACAGGAGTACAGATCTTCTGAACAGAAAGATTATCAAATCGACAAAACTTAATTGATTACAAGCAGAACTGCTGTCTAAAATCTCACCTGTCTCAAAGTGACAACTGCGAAGTTTTTCCCTTCATCATTTGCCGAGAGCACCACCTTCTGTACCATCCCCTTCTCGGTATGTTTCAGCTTGGTACTGTGATCTTCTCCGGATTCTGCAACCTTTCCAATCACAATGTCACCAGTCTGGAGACAAGCACCAATCCATGGAAAGCCATCATCTTCAAGAGAATCCACGCGACCCTTTTTGCTCTGCATCTTTCCAAACTCCACCTTGTCTTTCAACTTGATTCTCTTGGTAATTTCTTTATTCTCAACCTCTGCTTTATAGCTCCTAAAATGTTCAGTACGGAACATTCCACGTTCTAATGAAGCTCTATTCATCACCAAGGAGTCCTCCTGGTTGTAACCAAGGTGAACATTTACTGCCACGATAGCATTCTGACCATTGAAGAGCTCTGGCCTCGACATCCCATCCTTCAGGCCCAGAGAATAATCTCTCCTACCAAGGCAGTCAGCTACCACAGTTCGGAACAGAGGCCTCTGTGGATAATACATCTGGTGCATCAGTGTATCAACCCTAATATCAGGATTTGTGGTTGAGAAACCAACAGCCTGATGTGAATGCTTCTGAGCCTGAAATAGGACCCTCCGTGCAAGGTTATGGTTGGCAAAAGGGATGATACCACAACTCAATCCCAGTAAAAAGGAAGGGTCAAGCTCACAGTGTGTGTATGGTATTGCTGCTTGCTTGCTACCCTCCTGCAACAGGTATCTGATCCCCCAGGCAGCTCTGCAGTCCTCTTCTTCTTCTACACCAATGAGTTCAATAATTCCCTCATTTACAAGGGACTGGTACGAGGAAATCCCACCTTTGAGGCTTTTGACTTTCTTCAGATTTTCAACAATTAGAAGAGGTCGTAAAAGTCTCCCAGCATCAGAAAATATTCTCACCTCCTTCTGGTGTTGGTCCAATTTGATCTCCACCTAAGTTTTAAAAAAAAAAATTCAAATAACAGACAAACAAGTGTAGCAAATGTTAATTTCAGACTAAGACAATGTGCATGAAACACCAGAACAAACTTAAGAGAGCAAGCCATAGAGTCCATCAGCCTCTAGCGAATAATCACAAGATACCTCACAATCATCATTAATTCTTCAAAGCATTACAGTGGTGTCAACTATGTGGCATAGTAACAGTCTAAAAGGCTTCACAGGGATGGAGAAAAATCCTGCCAGTTTACCAAATCTAACCTAAATGAGTCATCAGTGCATCCTGCCTCAGTGAAAATTATATGGGGTAGGAATATACCCATGGATGCTATCAAATCTAGGTAAGAAAAGCATAAGCTTTAGTTTATTATTTTCCGATGAACTTAAGTGGTCTAGTTGACAATATACAAATATGGTGTCATATATTCCGAGCATATAACACATATATCATTAACATTGCAGATATATGAAATTTTCCAGATGACCGAACTTTATCTACTTGTGCAGCAGTTATATGTGAACAAGCTGTTCTAATAACCACTTGAATTGAACCCACATTGAGAAGCATGAAGGGAAAAAGAGGACCTGAGAATTGATTTCCTGTGCACGGCGCATTTGTCTGAAGTTTAGAACAAACAACCTTGAGTCCGAACACACTCCAATCCAATCCCCGTTCAAAAAGATTTTATACGTTTTACTCAGTGAAGAAACAGAAATTTGATCCAATTTTTCCATTCCACAGGAAACCAACTTATCCAGAACAGGTTCATTGATGCTGGAGCTGACAAGAGCAGTAACTGATAAATTCTTCACTAGCCCACAATTCTCTCCATCAGGGGTGGAGAGAAAGCATAGCTTTCCCCAATAAGACGGGTTTCTGCCAAGCACAGTTGTCCATAATAAGTCAATATCAAAGTCTAGAATGACAAATAAAGATTGAGCGCGCATATAACTGTGATATATTGGATGTTTCATGTAGATGTTTTTTAAACCAAAATTGGAAATGAAAAACAAAAGCAACAAATCATTTCTCCTAGCCACAAAAAATGACAACAAAATAAATGTTATTATAAATACAATAACATTTTCTAAAATGTTATTATAAATGTGTGTGCTTTTCTTTTTTTTTCTTTTTTCTTTTTTGGATAGTGTTTTTTTTTATAGAGTTTGAAAGTTTTTGAACTTTTTTGAGGCTCACATCTGGATGAACCTTAAAGTTGTACAGGGATGGTACATACCTTGTTGCATTTTGGTAATAAAAGTTTTATTCACTTACGAAAAAAAATATTTTCTAAAATGCCCAAATTGGACACCAGTTCTATGTGCTTCACAACAAGTCAACTGAACAGAACATTCCCAGTTACTATAATTTTTAAGATGATATATATGAGAAAAATAGGTATGCTTGGTATCAAGCACAAATTTTGTGTTTGGTAATGAGGTGTCCTATTCACATCCTCTCATTCCAATTCTCAATCACTCTCCAACTCATGTGAATGTGAGCCCCAATTTCAATGAGTGAAGGAAAATATGTCAAATCACTATCAAGCACAAAAATTTGTGCTTGGTACTAAGCATACTCATCTCTCTCTCTCTTTCTCGCTATATATATATATATATATATATATATATATATAATGGGTATCCTTGTCATAAGAGGGGATTATATATCGGACGGCTAAAATTGATATCGGATCCCAGTTATTGGGATATATCAGGGATAAGTAGTAAAAATTAGAGCGTTACATCGGATGAGGAGCATATAATATAATATCTTAAAATATAATCGAAGCACCTTTAATGAAAAATAAACATACTAATATTCAAGTAAAATATGTTTAGAATCACTTACCAATTATTTTTGTTTAGTTAATGCGAAATAGAATAGAATAACATTGTTTTTGTTTAGCATGTGGGTTGGGCATCGAAAAAAGAGGGTTTTTGTCTCCAAACCCAAACCAATTCACTTAGAATGCAAGTTGTAAAAAATCGAGTGCTTTTTAACCCACGAGAAATCAGCCACTTTATCGGATTTACATTAATATATTGGGGACAATCGGCCCAAAACTATATGCAATATATTTTTGCAAAAATCATATCGGTCATAATAGCCCAAACCCTATATATCGGTGATAAATCGATAAAATCAGCCTATTTTTATAAACACCGATACACGCGCGCCCGCGCGCGCACACACACGGAAGTCCTGTTACTTTGTGACTTTGTGATTCCCTTGGATGCAATGAAGCAGGAATTAAGTTGCACTCTGAGCAAAATTTTTCAACAAGGATAATACTCAGAAAGGCGTCCTAATTGTATTAAGGTGTGATGTAGTGTCACCAATGAAATTCCCAAATATATCTGTTCACCATGTACCAGGACATCCCCATGTTATAGCTTAAAGAAGAGTGAAGCCCCATATTTAAAGATTCCAATTCTCCAAATTAATAGCTCGCTTAATCAGCCTTAATAAAATAGACTATTAAAAACACTTGCTACATCAGTACAGTACTGGTTCACTTCAACAGAAAAAACAGCAGCAATTATCTAAGTATACAACAAATTCCAAAAGGCCAACTGGTCAAGTTTTCTGTTTAAAATGATGAAGAAGCTCAATTAATTATCATTTTCTTACTGCCAACGAACTACTTGCAAAGGGGCATAAGTTGTGCTGCAACCTACACTAAATTAATATTAAACCAAAAGATCATTGACTGAATAAAGCATGACTTAGTATCGCATTCTCATTTCAATAGTGAAAATTAGTTTCCACATTCAAAGCATAGCCCATCAAAATAAAGTAGAGAGGAAATACAAAGAACCCGAAGGTGACCAAAAAAGTAATCCACGACTCAAAACAACCTCAAATTAATAATAAAAAGTATGTGATAGACTAAAAATGCACTCACGGATATCTAGCATCTCCAGCTTTTCCAGCATAAGCAACCTGCTGCCTTGTTTTCCTCAGACTAGACATCATCTGTAATGCATTAGTTCTTTGGAGATTCGCCACGACTCCAGAACACCTCTCTGTCTTTATATATGGATGACACCATTGACCAGTCGAGAAAGCCCTATTCAGGCCATTTGTGACAATCGAGGCATCCCAATAACGTTCTATCAACTGCAGGTCACGATCTCCACTAAGATCTCTTTGCATGGCTTTAACCATGCGCTTCTCAGCATGTCGAATATTTGCCCACAACTCTCTACCAAGCAACTCACCAACTAAGTCTAACCTTTTATTTCTGAAATCATCCCTCTTGTCACACTTTCGCTTCCCGAAACAGCCTAGCAACAGGCATTTCACAATGTATCCAAGAAAAAGTGCCTTCTCCCTATGCCCGGAAATTGTTGGAAATAGGTACTTCCCAACATACTCATCAAATGACTCGGTGGGTGGAAATTTCGAGTTTTTAATAAGACTATCCACGTAGTCTCTAGATCTTCCCGCTTTTCTAAAATCATTACATTGTTCATCAGCATCTCTAATAGTTGCTAATATAATATTAGTAATGTTATTATCGCAACCATCAAGATCAATCATCTCAAAAACTTCCTTGTCAGAAGCAGCGCCAAGGGCAAAAAACATGACCCAAACCGGCATCGTGGCATATAAGAAGTATATGCTGATAAGTTTCCCACTATTTAAACCATCAACTTTCGAAGCATCAACAAGTTTAACATAAACCCTTTTCTTCTTCATCTCAGAAATATGTGATGCTGTCCAGACAGGTTTATCCGTGATCCACAATCTTGTTAAACAGCGTTGCTCCTGCGCAATGAAGACCTGCAAAGAAGAGAGGTCAGAATGCAACAACCTCAAGAGCACTTCCAGTTCATTTAACTCTTAAACAAAGCAGAAATAACATACTTAATAGGGTAAATTTCACAGAATTCCCTTTATGTATGACCTACTTTTAGACAACCCATCTAAACTTTAGAAATGTCACTTATACCGGCAAAATGGTATTATGCTTGAATGCATAAGTTGTATTATGTCAGATGTTATATGCAATGCAACCGAATACAAAACCCAAATTTGAAACCAACAAACCATGATTCAGGGTAATGAAGAACTTCGGCAACTCTGAGTTCGATTCAACAACATAAAGACATTGGTCACTTTGAATCAGAATTACACAATATAAGAGTGTTATTGTAAAGTAAATCCAGGATATCCGCAACATTCAGAGTACTGTAAGCTGAAATGAACAGATCATTTGTAACATTATTAACTAAATAACTATTCTTTGATGGATACTCGCTGCACCAAGATACCTAAGCTACATAACCTGCTTGCTTTACTTTATCAGACAGGTGGGGAAAGTACAACAAGTTATGTATGTGAATAACATTGTGTAGGTACAAAAGACTGCGAGCCTAAATAATCAATGACAAGCAGTTAAACAAGACAATTCATACTATTATGTAAACAAGAACATAATGTCATAATATATTCAAAGAATTTACACCTCGAAGATGCAAACTTATGATCCAGGTTTCAGATTTGACGAGAGAGAAGCTGATTTAATTCAACATCGTATGTGCGAGATTCAAGCACCTTTCACGTGTCATCGAAAGGTGAGCATAAGATTATATTACTGTGGAACCAATGAGACCACTTGAACAGGAAATATATGCATTAATTTTAAACATCTAACATCAATATTTCAATAATTCAAATCTGACACCCGAAGCTTAGGGTAAGGTGATGGGTTGCTGTTCTATAATAATTATCAAGCAATCTTAACACTTAACATCCACACACACACCCCAACACTCACCTTGGAATTTAAGGATACAAGGAGACGAAGGATAACTTCTGTAAAGAAACATATTCAAATTGCCAAAAACATATTCAGATACGAAGAGACGAGCTAATATAGAAACTAAGCTAATCACTCTCTTTTCCCAGACGTGTAAGAAGAATTCTGAGCCTAAAACCCTTCAGCATCGGTAACATATATTTTGATAAGCACGCAGTTTGAAATGAAAATAATCTGTAAGACAGTAACAACTATGGAGATATTTTAATAATTCACATCTCAATCGATTATAGTAATGAAAAGCTGGACTAAGCTGCCCCTGCCAGCCATTGTTGATCCCTCACTAAGAAACAGCAAAAAGAAAGAGAAGGAAATGAAAGAACAAAAAAAAAGTATTGAAGACACGTGAGCATACATGCATTGATGAAAACATTATGAATAGAGCTAAACGTGATATGAATAAGTAGAAACAAGGACAAGGCTCTCATACATATTTAAGTTAAGCAGATTGGTGGAATCCTAAGGAAAATACAAGTGACTAGTAACCCGTGAGTCATCATATGTATGATTAAGTACAAGCACTGAATGTTGTTGATGAATATGGAAGGGGCAAAATTACCTTTTCTGCTCCTTTAACTATAAAGTAACCCCCAGAATCATATAAACAATCACTTTTATCCAGTGTATCAAGCCAGCACAATTTTGATTTCACCATCACTGGCATGCTTCCTATGGTAATCTCCTTCTTGTCATCGCTCAATACCCTTTTACAGATGTGTGAATCTTTTCCAGTTTTAGCCTTGTCACTCTTCTCTAGTATGTAGACCTGAAGAAAAAAAAGGATGATGCAAAGCTTCCAATAAGATGATGAAAACCATAGAGACAGTACATACTATGAAGAATTAAAGCAGGTTATATGTTGTAATCCCTTGAATATAGATGTTAGGATCTATCATAATTAAATTCTTCAATATACAATCTCTGGCTCAAAGGAAAACTGTCGCATCAAAGTAACATCAAGGACTAGACTAGGTTCAATAATATGTCTAATATTGTTTTAGTATTAGCTGGCATCATGCCACACCATATGTGTGTTTTTCTATTGAATCACCCGCTTACATATTTTTCTATGTGCAGCAAACTGCTCACTAATAGAATGTTTTTAGTTCCTTAGGACCCTAGCAGATACATATAGTAGTATCTGCTATAAACAATCTTGTCCATTTTATGTGTATTCATGTATATGTGCTGCTTTGAATTCATGGAGTAACATTGATTCTTGATAAACATGAAATATCATTACAAAACTGAAAGAAGAAAAGGTTTATCTGAATATAAGAATGACAAATAATGCATAGTTCTTATAGCATGTGAATGCAATCTACATACCTGAACCCTTACTTCCACTTTTAATTTCGACGAGTAGGTCATATTTTGCAGTCGGGCATGCTTAGGCAACAATTTTAATTCTTCTGTCTCCTGACCACTTCTTTCGGTCCAAAAAGTTGGCTTTCCGAGCCTGACCTTTCCATAAGTGATAGTGGCATGCTGCCAATCTCCTCCTCCACCCTTGGATGGATCATAGCCTGGTTCCACGACTACTTCACCCAAAGAATCAAAAATCTCCTGGAGCCCACTTGTTATGAATTGATTGAAGGAGTTAATCTGATGATTTATCAAGCCAAACTCACTAAAGAAGGCTCGTGCTGCATCTTTGCAGAACCTTTCCAGTGTTTCTTCTTTTAAATCAAGATATTGGGTTACACAGTCTGGGGAATCAACATCCATAGTGTCCTTCTCCTCATTTTCGATAATCCAATTCCAATCATCTACATTGACTGAACTCTTTGGCAATTGATCACCTTCCATCTGCATTCCATAAATGCGATCTTCTACTAAGTATGTTAAGATGCCTAAATTTTCTATCAATAAGCATTAGGTTATTTTAAAATGTCATAATGCAAATGTAGATTTTTTTTTTTTTTAAGAATGTACAAGCCCAGAACTAAGCTAGCTCAAAAAAGGGAAAAAAAACATCACTAGGCTACCTATTTCTTCAGTTAACTAATATGGGTTCTGATTGTAACTTAATCAACCAAAAAAAAACGAAAACTTAGGATGCCTTAAAACAAACCAAAAAAAATTCCTTTTCCTGCAAAAAATTCTAGGAAAATCTATGTAAATCCAAAACTCAAACACTAAAAGAGGGTTCACAAATACGCTCCTCTTCTTCCCAAATCACTAAAAGGGACATGCAAGAAGGAACCTTTGATGAATGTTGACATTGTCTCGCACTGTTACGCACTAATTTCCCAGTTAATCTTAATAAACATCAAATTTGGAAGCAACTATTTCATAAAACATAGTCGAAGAAGTAAAAAATAACGGGTTTCAACTATTTCCCTCTACAATGCCATTAAACCATGAAAGAGAGAGAGTGTGGGCTTTACCTTGGAGGAGTTTAATGGAGAACGAGTCGGTTGCTCTTCGAGAGATTAGGGTTTGGAGATTGATTTAGAATGAGATTGATTTAGAACTAGGGTTTTGGTGAGAAGACAGAGAGGGGGAAACCCTTTCGTTTCCAATTGATTTTTGGGTAAATGACACTTAAGTATTCTATTGTTTGCTATCGTTATATATATATATATATATATATATATTTAAAAACGCCACTTATAAAAAAGTATCATTTTATTATTCTATGTTATAAAAAAATATTATAATATTTTAAATTATAAAAAGTAATATTTTAATATCTTAAATTGTAAAAGACTAATAGGTTAGTACTTTTAATTCGTTGCATTGCATGTTCATTATCATATATATCGGCCATATCTATTATTATATTTATGGTCATATCTACTCTCAATCTTTTTGTTAGTTTTTTGGGGAAAATGCTTCTAGCCTCCAAAATCCAAGAAAACGTGCTCCCCCCCCCCCCCC